CTTTGATCGATGATGATTGGTTGGGAGAAAGAAATCAGATAATGAGGAGGTTGCTAGGTTGATAAGTTTGTATGCTTGTTTAAAGCTCTTTTATTCCACAACTAGTGAGACAATTGAATGGGCATACTACCAACACATGGAGCATTTGGACAAGATGAGGGAATATGATTGGGCAGAAACCATCAAGTCTACATTAATGAATTCCATTGAACTTCATCATCGACGTCCAGAACGAGTGACTGGCTGTGTTATGGCTTTAATGGTATGTAATACTACATTCACTCACATAACTATTAATGTCTACGTCTGAAACGATACATTCACATTAGTTTATAATCATAATTTTTTTTCGACATGCATATTAACTGATTATGTTGAGTCACATTGTCAAGATTTTGTTTTAACATTCATGTTTGAAGTATAAGTCTTCCCATTGTGAATGATTGGAGTCTAATTTTCATCTTACATTGAAAATGTTCAATCATATACTTCATATTTCAATATTCACATCACATTGATTATGTTGGGTGAATGGTCACATTGCCAAGATTCCATTGTTGACATTTGTGTTTGAAGTATGAATCTTCTCATTGTGAATGTTTAGAGTTTGTTATCCATGTTACATTGATTATTTTGAGTCTCATTATTGATATTCCATTGTTGACATTTGTGTTTCAAGTGTGTATCTTCACATTGTAAATAATTGGAGTCTAGTTTCATTGTTACATTGATTATGTTGTGCCATATTGTTGATATTCCAATAGACTCAAAACACCATTGTTAGTATTTGAAATTTGTTTTGACATTTCATTGATTACGTTGAGTGAATTGTCATATTGCTAACATTTGTGTTTGAAGTATGAATCTTCAAATTGTGAATGTTTGGAGTTTATTTTCCATATTACATTGATTATGTTGAGTCACATTGTCAAGGTTTTGTTTTGACATTCATAGTTAAAGTATAAGTCTTCCCATTGTGAATGTTTGTAGTCTAATTTTCATCTTACATTGAAAATGTTCAATCATATAGTTGACAATTTGTTACATTTTATGTAGTATTGGCTGTGTGAGCGTACCAAAATAGTGGAACCAATTTTGCAAAATGCATCACCTCGATTTCTCAAATGAAATCTAACAAAACGTCACAAGAATGTGAAGAATTTCTCTTTCTCGTCAATCAATGATGATGAGGTTATATACCAACATTATCCAATGTGAATAATATTATTTATTATACTAAAACTAACAGTAATCTCTATTACCAGATTTATATAGAGAAACTCATACTGACAGATCGTGAGAGCACACTGTTGGCGCAAACAATAATTCGAGATGAGGAGAATCAAAAAGATGCACCTGAGAGTATTATTTATCATGAAGTCAAAATTGAGGAAGAAATGGACATGAGCATACAAGAGGATGACATTGATGAGGCATTTGATACAAAGTTTGGTAATGAAGCAGAATTTCAAAGCAATGAACATGATGAAGCCAATATTGAGAAAGGTGCAGAGACTCTTGCATATCTACATGCACATGGGGTGCATCAAGTCATTATGTCAAAGGTTGCTCAGGACAACATTATAAAGAAAATGGTTGCTAACCATCAAAAAGCATTAGACCTCAACGAGAAACTACAAATTGAGAACCAGAATCTGCAGGCAGCAAATGACATGAAAGACTAAATCATCTTGGAGATGGAAACATTAATATGTAACCAGAAGGAGAATCCAACAGTTCAAGCCTCATGTGTGAGCATCATTTCTAAGTTCATGTTGGCCATGTTTCAGTAGGTATTTGGTAGTATTTTGCCATGCTTTACCTCTT